TAACCAAAAAAATTGAAAAGTTGGGCCATTTAAGGGTACTTTACTGATGACGTGGGGCAAGTTACCCCAAAACGACCGCTTTCCGCACCCTCTGGGGGGTTCTAGTGTACGTATCTTTTAGTCTTATGGTTAGGAGAAGCCATTTTAACCAAAAAAATTGAAAAGTTGGGCCATTTAAGGGTACTTTACTGATGACGTGGGGCAAGTTACCCCAAAACGACCGCTTTCCGCACCCTCTGGGGGGTTCTAGTGTACGTATCTTTTAGTCTAATGGTTAGGAGAAGCCATTTTAACCAAAAAAATTGAAAAGTTGGGCCATTTAAGGGTACTTTTTTATGACGTGGGGCAAGTTACCCCAAAACGAACGCTTTCCGCACCCTCTGGGGGGTTCTAGTGTACGTATCTTTTAGTCTTATGGTTAGGAGCAGCCATTTTAACCAAAAAAATTGAAATGTTGGGACATTTAAGGGTACCTTTTTATGACGTGGGGCAAGTTGCCCCAAAACGAACGCTTTCCGCACCCTCTGGGTGGTTCTAGTGTACGTATCTTTTAGTCTTATGGTTAGGAGAAGCCATTTTAACCAAAAAAATTGAAAAGTTGGGCCATTTAAGGGTACTTTACTGATGACGTGGGGCAAGTTACCCCAAAACGACCGCTTTCCGCACCCTCTGGGGGGTTCTAGTGTACGTATCTTTTAGTCTAATGGTTAGGAGAAGCCATTATAACCAAAAAAATTGAAAAGTTGGGCCATTTAAGGGTACTTTACTGATGACGTGGGGCAAGTTACCCCAAAACGACCGCTTTCCGCACCCTCTGGGGGGTTCTAGTGTACGTATCTTTTAGTCTAATGGTTAGGAGAAGCCATTTTAACCAAAAAAATTGAAAAGTTGGGCCATTTAAGGGTACTTTTTTATGACGTGGGGCAAGTTACCCCAAAACGAACGCTTTCCGCACCCTCTGGGGGGTTCTAGTGTACGTATCTTTTAGTCTTATGGTTAGGAGCAGCCATTTTAACCAAAAAAATTGAAATGTTGGGACATTTAAGGGTACCTTTTTATGACGTGGGGCAAGTTGCCCCAAAACGAACGCTTTCCGCACCCTCTGGGTGGTTCTAGTGTACGTATCTTTTAGTCTTATGGTTAGGAGAAGCCATTTTAACCAAAAAAATTGAAAAGTTGGGCCATTTAAGGGTACTTTACTGATGACGTGGGGCAAGTTACCCCAAAACGACCGCTTTCCGCACCCTCTGGGGGGTTCTAGTGTACGTATCTTTTAGTCTAATGGTTAGGAGAAGCCATTATAACCAAAAAAATTGAAAAGTTGGGCCATTTAAGGGTACTTTTTTATGACGTGGGGCAAGTTACCCCAAAACGAACGCTTTCCGCACCCTCTGGGGGGTTCTAGTGTACGTATCTTTTAGTCTTATGGTTAGGAGAAGCCATTTTAACCAAAAAAATTGAAAAGTTGGGCCATTTAAGGGTACTTTACTGATGACGTGGGGCAAGTTACCCCAAAACGACCGCTTTCCGCACCCTCTGGGGGGTTCTAGTGTACATATCCTTTAGTCTTATGGTTAGGAGAAGCCATTTTAACCAAAAAAATTGAAAAGTTGGGCTATATAAGGGTACTTTTCTGATGACGTGGGGCAAGTTGCCCCAAAACGACCGCTTTCCGCACCCTCTGGGGGGTTCTAGTGTACGTATCTTTTAGTCTAATGGTTAGGAGAAGCCATTTTAACCAAAAAAATTGAAAAGTTGGGCCATTTAAGGGTACTTTTTTATGACGTGGGGCAAGTTACCCCAAAACGAACGCTTTCCGCACCCTCTGGGGGGTTCTAGTGTACGTATCTTTTAGTCTTATGGTTAGGAGAAGCCATTTTAACCAAAAAAATTGAAATGTTGGGACATTTAAGGGTACCTTTTTATGACGTGGGGCAAGTTGCCCCAAAACGAACGCTTTCCGCACCCTCTGGGTGGTTCTAGTGTACGTATCTTTTAGTCTTATGGTTAGGAGAAGCCATTTTAACCAAAAAAATTGAAAAGTTGGGCCATTTAAGGGTACTTTACTGATGACGTGGGGCAAGTTACCCCAAAACGACCGCTTTCCGCACCCTCTGGGGGGTTCTAGTGTACGTATCTTTTAGTCTTATGGTTAGGAGAAGCCATTTTAACCAAAAAAATTGAAAAGTTGGGCCATTTAAGGGTACTTTACTGATGACGTGGGGCAAGTTGCCCCAAAACGAACGCTTTCCGCACCCTCTGGGTGGTTCTAGTGTACGTATCTTTTAGTCTTATGGTTAGGAGAAGCCATTTTAACCAAAAAAATTGAAAAGTTGGGCCATTTAAGGGTACTTTACTGATGACGTGGGGCAATTTACCCCAAAACGACCGCTTTCCGCACCCTCTGGGGGGTTCTTGTGTACATATCCTTTAGTCTTATGGTTAGAAGCCATTTTAACCAAAAAATTTGAAAAGTTGGGCTATATAAGGGTACTTTTCTGATGACGTGGGGCAAGTTGCCCCAAAACGACGCTTTCCGCACCCTCTGGGTGGTTCTAGTGTACGTATCTTTTAGTCTTATGGTTAGGAGAAGCCATTTTAACCAAAAAAATTGAAAAGTTGGGCCATTTAAGGGTACTTTTTTATGACGTGGGGAAAGTTGCCCCAAAACGAACGCTTTCCGCACCCTCTGGGGGGTTCTAGTGTACGTATCTTTTAGTCTTATGGTTAGGAGAAGCCATTTTAACCAAAAAAATTGAAAAGTTGGGCCATTTAAGGGTACTTTTTTATGACGTGGGGCAAGTTGCCCCAAAACGAACGCTTTCCGCACCCTCTGGGGGGTTCTAGTGTACGTATCTTTTAGTCTTATGGTTAGGAGAAGCCATTTTAACCAAAAAAATTGAAAAGTTGGGCCATTTAAGGGTACTTTACTGATGACGTGGGGCAAGTTACCCCAAAACGACCGCTTTCCGCACCCTCTGGGGGCTTCTAGTGTACGTATCTTTTAGTCTTATGGTTAGGAGAAGCCATTTTAACCAAAAAAATTGAAAAGTTGGGCCATTTAAGGGTACTTTACTGATGACGTGGGGCAAGTTACCCCAAAACGACCGCTTTCCGCACCCTCTGGGGGGTTCTAGTGTACGTATCTTTTAGTCTTATGGTTAGGAGAAGCCATTTTAACCAAAAAAATTGAAAAGTTGGGCCATTTAAGGGTACTTTACTGATGACGTGGGGCAAGTTACCCCAAAACGACCGCTTTCCGCACCCTCTGGGGGGTTCTAGTGTACGTATCTTTTAGTCTAATGGTTAGGAGAAGCCATTTTAACCAAAAAAATTGAAAAGTTGGGCCATTTAAGGGTACTTTTTTATGACGTGGGGCAAGTTACCCCAAAACGAACGCTTTCCGCACCCTCTGGGGGGTTCTAGTGTACGTATCTTTTAGTCTTATGGTTAGGAGAAGCCATTTTAACCAAAAAAATTGAAATGTTGGGACATTTAAGGGTACCTTTTTATGACGTGGGGCAAGTTGCCCCAAAACGAACGCTTTCCGCACCCTCTGGGTGGTTCTAGTGTACGTATCTTTTAGTCTTATGGTTAGGAGAAGCCATTTTAACCAAAAAAATTGAAAAGTTGGGCCATTTAAGGGTACTTTACTGATGACGTGGGGCAAGTTACCCCAAAACGACCGCTTTCCGCACCCTCTGGGGGGTTCTAGTGTACGTATCTTTTAGTCTTATGGTTAGGAGAAGCCATTTTAACCAAAAAAATTGAAAAGTTGGGCCATTTAAGGGTACTTTACTGATGACGTGGGGCAAGTTACCCCAAAACGACCGCTTTCCGCACCCTCTGGGGGGTTCTAGTGTACGTATCTTTTAGTCTAATGGTTAGGAGAAGCCATTTTAACCAAAAAAATTGAAAAGTTGGGCCATTTAAGGGTACTTTTTTATGACGTGGGGCAAGTTACCCCAAAACGAACGCTTTCCGCACCCTCTGGGGGGTTCTAGTGTACGTATCTTTTAGTCTTATGGTTAGGAGAAGCCATTTTAACCAAAAAAATTGAAATGTTGGGACATTTAAGGGTACCTTTTTATGACGTGGGGCAAGTTGCCCCAAAACGAACGCTTTCCGCACCCTCTGGGTGGTTCTAGTGTACGTATCTTTTAGTCTTATGGTTAGGAGAAGCCATTTTAACCAAAAAAATTGAAAAGTTGGGCCATTTAAGGGTACTTTACTGATGACGTGGGGCAAGTTACCCCAAAACGACCGCTTTCCGCACCCTCTGGGGGGTTCTAGTGTACGTATCTTTTAGTCTTATGGTTAGGAGAAGCCATTTTAACCAAAAAAATTGAAAAGTTGGGCCATTTAAGGGTACTTTACTGATGACGTGGGGCAAGTTGCCCCAAAACGAACGCTTTCCGCACCCTCTGGGTGGTTCTAGTGTACGTATCTTTTAGTCTTATGGTTAGGAGAAGCCATTTTAACCAAAAAATTTGAAAAGTTGGGCCATTTAAGGGTACTTTACTGATGACGTGGGGCAAGTTACCCCAAAACGAACGCTTTCCGCACCCTCTGGGGGGTTCTAGTGTACGTATCTTTTAGTCTTATGGTTAGGAGAAGCCATTTTAACCAAAAAATTGAAATGTTGGGCCATTTAAGGGTACTTTTTTATGACGTGGGGCAAGTTGCCCCCAATTTTAGGTTTATTTGGGGGTTCATGATTTATTATTTTGTTTTTGTTATAGTAAAGTGTATTTTAAGCGGTTGTTATTGCGAAAAGTTAATTTTTTACATTTTTAATTTTTCGTTTTTAAAACGTTGCGGACTTCTATCTCATCAATGATTGTTTTCTGCCCACTGGGTATTATTACAATTAAAATTTTTCTCAAAAAACACCATTATACATTAGATATTTAAGCTAAAATATGAGCTAATTTCTCTAATTAAAAAATAAAGAAAATTAAAGCAATCTGCGAAGGCTCTAAAATAAAAGAACTACTTACTATTTTTAATTCCTTTCAATTGAGAAATTTTTTTTCTAATTCTTTCATTAGCTTCTCCAGCTTCCAATTCAGCATCAATCTGGTCCATTCTCAACTCAGTTATACAAAAATGACGATAAATATCTATAATGTAAAAAGTATTTTTTTAATAACCTTTCTTAATTATTCAATTGTCCAATGTAATACTAACACTAGAGTTTTGGTTATTGTTCATTATTAGTATGATGTTACAAAAAATTATTTTAATATTGTTTTAGATTAAAGCAACAAATGTATAATCAACATTGCTGTATGATAAGCTGATTTTTGTATAAATGGAATTGTGAGAGAAAACTACGCATATTTATATTTTAATTATTTATACCAAGAAATTTTTGTTCAAATTATTTTAATTCTTGAAAAATAATTAATTAAATAAATAAAAATTTTTATCAGATGTTAAGCAGGTGAATTGACAAAATACAATACCTTTTATAGCTAAAAGTTTCTTTGGGTCCAATTTACTTTCTGGTACTTTAGTTCCTTGATTACGATTACTTCCTTTGCCAGTAATAGTGGTTTTAGCAAGAGCATCATAACCCAGAAGAGCGACAGAAATATTTCTGAACAAAACTTTTCTATTTTTCATCGAAATATTACTTATTGCAAGCGCGTAAGCATTATAAGGTAGCCATTCTCCTCGTCCGAGATGAATCTAGTAATGGAAGACAAAGTATTTACTTATAAAACTGCAGACTACAAAGTGTAAAATAAGTTCAAAAAAGGGGAATAGGGGAAATTTCGATTTAAAAAAAAGGAAATTTTAATGTAGATTTCATAGTTAGAAGTGGATTTTTTTTTTAAATTAGACTTTTATTTGTACATTGCTCAGAACTTGAAAATTGATGTTAAATTGCTTAAAAAAATATTTATGTATTTAAGGGCAGAGACCAGTGAAACTTCAACTCTTCAATATTTACGTTGTTTAGGTGCGTCAAATTTCTTTTCGTAAATTATTTAGATTGTAAATTAATGCTATAATTAAAATTAAAAAAAATTTTTTTTTGATTCTTTTCCGAAAACTTATTTTTTTAACAATTTAAATTTTTTCAAAATTCATACTATTGATTGTTCAGAATCATAAAACAAGTATATAAAATAATCAGCAATAAAATTTAATAGAAATTACGAAATTAGTTCAAATTTTTATTTTTCGAAACATTATGTAATTTTAAATAATTAATTTTTTTAGAAAAAAATTGACCACTCATAAACAACAAAAATTTATATGAGTTGAAATTTCATTGGTCTCTCTTAACATTTTTGTTATATTTTTATTAAAATTCCTAAAAAGCCGTTTTTTGAAGTTGACAAATCTTATTTTGATATTGGAATTAAATTTAAAAAATTGACATATTTAGGTTCGTAAAGAATTTAAAAAGTTAGTACTAGGATATATATTTTGTTTGGACAAATAATTTTAGTGTATTTTAATTTTTTTTATCCATTAAATAATAATTTATAAATTTTTAATGAGCTTTCATAAGTGGACGAAAGTTTATAAATAAATAATAATTATTATACTAATTTTTGAAATTGTAAAATTGTTTAAATTTTTCTTTCTTATTTTGTCACAAAACAATTATTTTTAACCGTCAACAACTTTTAACTTATTTTTCGCTAACTTCAGAGTAATTTCATTTTAATGAAACAGAAAGGTAATATAAAATTTGTCTTTAAAATTTAAATATTCTAAACATTAATTTTTCACACATCGTACCATAATGAGGAAAATTGTTAATATAATTTTGAAAATTTATTTTAAGCTGAATTTGAAATATAAAAAATAAAACAGTTTTTTACGAAGTAAAAATCCACAACGTTTATTGTCAACGATTTAAGGGGTTATACCTGCCTGAAAAATTTTTTTTTCGATTTTTTTTTTTTTTTGCTTAAAATAGACTATAACATTCCTAGATTAATAATCAATGACGTCCTTGCACGAAAACAACTTGGAAATGTTGTTAAAATTATTTTTTCTGGAGCATTTCGGAAGCGCCATAATGCATAATTTTAATTTTTCCGAAAAAAAATGCTCGACGGAGCATAACTTCAGTGAGAAAGGAGCTGGAAGAGACAAATACGGCCACTGAGGGACAATTATATGGTGCTGGGATAGCAGAGTGAAGGTAAAAAAAATTTATTAACCAAATGCATGAGATTATTAAAAATTATAGTGTTGTGAAACTTCAAACGCGTTTTTCTCGAAACCATATTTTACAAATCGGCGAGCAGTAGAACTCGAAGAGTTATTGTCCGATTGAGCTAAAAATTTAACTGTAGCTTCTTAGTTAAATTATCTAGTGAAGTACACACGATTTTTAAAATTGATGAAGAGAATTTTTTTTTATAAACAATTAAAATCGATTTTTTTGGGTCAAAAATGCGATTTATTTTTATAATTCTCACAATTCTACAAAAAAAATTCTAAAATTATGATCATGTGTACTTCACTAGATAATCTTATGTAGTTTATGAAAAAAAATTTTTTGTGCTTCTAGATGACGATCCAGGGGACTTCAACTGCTCGCCGCGGAGGACTGCAAAAATACATTGCACTTTTTATGCAACCATACAGCCGACAATTTGTAAAATAAATTCGTAATAAAATTTTTTCTCATTATTTAAAAGTTGCTTAATTAAGTGGTATATTAGTTGCCAACGATTATTTAAAACTGTATTCACGAAAAAGTCTTTAAAAACATCCTTTTTTTAAGCCTCGAAACAGGTATAACCCCTTAAAACAATTAATCTTTCTATAACAATTTCTTCTTAATTTTTGCATAACGAATAATTAAGATTGTTTTTGATTTTGATTATCGACTGATAATCCCACCATGAGAGTTCGGAGATTCAATTTTTTCAAAAATTCTAAATAAAATTCAAATTTTAACATCATTTTAGGTAACAAGGTCTCGTAAAATAAATTATCATCAAACAAAAATTGTTTTTATAAACATTTTTAGAAAAATTTGCTAAAAAAAATTTTTATTATTTTGAGCTTGAAAAAAGATTCAGTTTTTTGAATTGCTAGCAATAAACGTTGTGGACTTCAAATTTGTATTTTTTTGGGTCCAAAAATTCGATAAATGATAATAATTATAATAAAATTCAATTAAAGTTGGTTCAAGTATAAATTTAGAGATTTTGAATTAAATTTAGTGGTCAAAATAATAAAAAAAAAAGTGAAAGGAGGGGAAATTTTTTTTTTTAAATAGAGGAAAAAAAGGAATAGGGGAAACACTTTGAAGCCTCTAAGATACATATATTGAGAAAGAGTTTTTCTTACGTGACTTTCTGTTTCAGTTACGTAACCAACAGGAGGGTAAGTGATCTGTGTAGTAAGGTTGTCTTGTGTTTCCTTCCACTCTGTGAACATGGCTGCAAAGAAAAAATTGATAAATTATATACACCTTTTTTTAATTTTACGAAAACCTTTTGATTAATTTCGATTAATTAATTTACTAATTAACCGAAATAGTATTATAGCCCCATAAATGTCACCAGAAATATTTTTATAATTAAACTCACAGTTTATAGAAATTGTAATATCTCTCAATAAATTAATATCGTATTTATAATTGTTTTTTAGGCGTTTACAATAAATCATCTATTTATTGTAATTATGTATATTGAATTTTGTGTAAAATTATTTGACATACTGCAAAATGCTCATATTGAAAAATTAATCACACTTTGAAACATAAATTCTTGTAAAATTTTAAAATAATTAGGAACAACTTTTAATCATAAAAAATTGTTACACACTACAATAATGGAAATATATCTTACCATGCATCAGGTTGCATTTGTTTATGGCCGTGTTTTGCCAATTTATATTCATCTGTTTTGTCCTTTCTAATTCGTTTTGGGTTTTATGTAATTCTGTTTCAAGTTGATCTAAATCGTCCTTCGCTCGACTCAATTCATCTATTTTCTCTTCGTGGACTGCTTTTAAAACCTTTAGTCTATCTTGAGTTGCTTTTAGAGTATCAGACAATTTTTTTACTTGTAACCTTTGAATTTGCAAACATCGTTCAGTTTCAGCTTCGTCTTCCTGTTAAAAATAATTATACGTTAGTTACATTTAATAAAAATTAAAAATTTGAGTTTAAATATTGCAATAAATGCTTACCAATTTCTTAGAGAAAGACGATCTACCATCTTCTTTATCATTTTTAAGCTGTTTTCCATTGTTGACGGTTTGATTTGAAATATTTAACTGCATAACACGTAGCGGATCTCTAAAAGGTTGTTCAACATTTTTTTGTTTTATTGCATTTTTGTTTCCACCTCTAGGGTGTTCAGTCAGAAAAGTTTTAAGGGTCTTGTTTACAGCTGTGAGGTTTTGACGTGCTAATTTCGTATTTTCCCCAGACATCATTTTTTGTATAGGTACTGTTTGTTTCGTGGAATTTTCATTTTTATTTGCAGAAATCTTGAACGAATCCTGCTTCAGGGACTTGTTCGCAGCTGTGGGTTTTTTCGAGTCTACTTTCGTTTTCTTCGAAGATTTCATTGTTTGTGCAGATATTTTTTGCTTCGTACAATTTTGATTTTCGTTTTCAGAAAACATAAGCGAATCCGGTTTTGGGGAGTTGTCCGTAGTTGTTGTTTTTTCTTGTTCTAATTTCGTGTTTTCCCCAGATTTTATTATTTGTGTAGGTGCTGTTTGTTTCGTGGAACTTCGATTTCCATTTGCAGAATTGTTCAGTGAATCCTGCTTCAAGGACTTGTCCGCAGCTGTGGGTTTCTTCAGGTCTGCTTTAGTTTTCCCCGCAGATTTTATTGTTTGTGCAGGTATTTTTTGCTTCGTAGAATTTTTATTTTTGTTTGCAGAAAACTTAAGCGAATCGGGTTTTGAAGAGTTGTCCGTAGGTGCGATTTTTATTTGTTCTGATTTCGTGTTTTCCCCAGATTTTATTATTTGTGTAGGTGCTGTTTGTTTCATGGAACTTCCATTTCCATTTGCAGAAATCTTGAGCGAATCCTGCTTTAGGGATTCGTTCGCAGCTGTGGGTTTTTTCGAATCTACTTTCGATTTCCCTGAAGATTTCATTGTTTGTGCAGGTATTTTTTTCTTAGTGGAATTTTGATTTTCGTTTGGAGAAAACTTAAGCGAATCCGGTTTTGAGGAGTTGTCCGTAGTTGTTGTTTTTTCTTGTTCTAATTTCGTGTTTTCCCCAGATTTTATTATTTGTGTAGGTGCTGTTTGTTTCGTGGAACTTCGATTTCCATTTGCAGAATTGTTCAGTGAATCCTGCTTCAAGGACTTGTCCGCAGCTGTGGGTTTCTTTAGGTCTGAATTTGTTTTTTTCGGTATGGTCTTCTTTTCGACAAATTTTTTGTTTCCATTAGACTTTTGGATTCCTAAATCAATTTCTTCTGATAATGAATTAAGCTCTTGTGATGATCCTCCAGACGAAGATTTCTCCAATTTTTGTTTCTTTTTTAGATTTTCAAGCCTGTTATTTAAGGATTGTTCAATTTTATTTTCTTGGACCTGTAAAGAAAAAGATAATGATAATATACAATAACATTTAAAAACAAATAATAAAAGTTACATCAATAAAATAAATTAGATAAGATTAGAAACTACATTTTTTAATTATACTTTATAATTTATTTTTATAATTTATAAATATAAATATATTTCTAAAATGACAATTTAATTTGTGTAATTTAAAAAAAATGAAATTATTTTGTTATTTGTTTTTAAAATACTTCATATATTATTAAAAAAGTGTAAAACAAAACTTCTCAAAAGTAATTTCATAAATTTATGAACGAAAAAATGTATTTTTAATAAAGTTTTTAAAGTTATTTTCAAAATCAAATGGCTGACTTCACGATTATAATATAGACTTATAGGTAAGATAATGAATTAGCAAATTTTATTTTTTAAAGTTTATATAAATATTTGCAATTTATTAAATATAATAACGAAGATACTATTAATTTTTAATTGAACCTATTATAAATGTGATTCATAAACAACAAAATTTTTTTAAAATTTATTATTGCAAAAATTATTAATCCTTACAATACAAAATAAAAAATGGCAAGCGTACCGTCTGTGTTTTCCTTTTAAAATTTCCTTCAGTTTCCGTATCCGTAGTGTCATGTGGATCGAGAAGGTACTTTTTATTTACTGCTCGATGCCTTCCTTTCTTATTTAGAATATCGTTCATGTCCTCTGCATCTTAAAGAAATATTAATTTTTTAAAACATATATTAATATATATATATATATTAAAAATATTATAATAATATATTATATTGTATTATTATATTATATTTATTATTATTTGTTATTTATTATGTATTATGTATTATGTATTATGTATTATGTATTATGTATTATGTATTATGTATTATGTATTATGTATTATTTATTATTTATTATTTATTATTTATTATTTATTATTTATTATTTATTATTTATTATTTATTATTTATTATTTATTATTTATTATTTATTATTTATTATTTATTATTTATTATTTATTATTTATTATTTATTATTTATTATTTATTATTTATTATTTATTATTTATTATTTATTATTTATTATTTATTATTTATTATTTATTATTTATTATTTATTATTTATTATTTATTATTTATTATTTATTATTTATTATTTATTATTATTATTATTATTATTATTATTATTATTATTATTGTTATTGTTATTGTTATTGTTATTGTTATTGTTATTATTATTATTATTGTTTGCTTGATCAAATCCAGTAATTTTTTTTGTTAAAAAAACGATAGACCATAATTTGAATCAACTGTTCTAAACTTTGATTGTGATTGAGATTTTATCACCAAAATAAAAAAATAAAATCATATTTTAAAATGTCAAATTAGAAAATTTGGAAGTTAGAAAATGAAAATTTAAGTAATTGTTATCGATTGAACTCAAATTTTAATATCGGGGTGTTTTTTGTATTTCAAACTAAACTTTTATTATTAAAACAGTGAAATTAGGAATTATAAATTTGAAATGGGACATTAAAAAAATTTAAAACAAAAAAAATGTGTGAAATGTTGAGTTGTGAACAATGTACAGATAAAAGTCTGATTTTATTCATATAAAACTAAATCAATGACGGCAAGAAGAAGAATTATTTCTTTTTTTGAAAATTGGATTAAGATAACATTATTTTTAAATTGATTTAGAAAACTGTTGAATAAGAAATAGTTTTTTTAACAATTCAAATTTTTGAAAAGAATTTGACAGCTAATTAAAAAAATTGATCAAATAAAACTGAAAAATAGTCGGGAATTTTAAAACATAAAAAATATCATTCCTATGATGATAAATAACATTTCATAAAAACTATCCAAATATTAATGAATTAAAAATAAGAATTTTTAAAGATATAATATTTTTTAATTACAGAATTTTAATAAGACATTTTTTAAAATACTGTTTATAAAAAATAGTGTACTTACCGCACCACTAAATTTCTACGCCTCGAAAGTTAATAAATATATATGTATTTAAAAGTGCGGATGTTATTATACGAAAACATAATTCAAAAGATGAATTTTTTAATTTCTTATAAGTTTTTTTTAAATTACTTCATAAATTATTAAAAAATGTTTAACAAAATTTCCAAAAAGTAATTTTAAAAATTTATCGATTTGAAATTGTGTTATAATCCATAAAAGAATTTTTTTATCTTATTTAGCTACAAATTAAACAAAATGTAACTTACTTGCAATGAAAGCGACAGTTCCTTGCACAATATCTCCATTGTCTTTATCAATTTTGTATAATTGAAAAGGGTTGTACGTGTTTTCATTAAAATGGTGAATTTTTTCCAGGGGTGATATAAAATTGTCTTGTTCTGCTTTGCCTGTGGCATGCAGTAATTTCACATACGCAAACTTTTCCATAATTGAAATAATAGTTCATTTATGTACCCACGTGTGTTTCGTAAAAACCGTTGGAAAAAAATTAACCTCACATTTTGTAAAGAAACTCATGCGATTCGTCGCTATCCTTACATGCTTAAAATCACAACATCGATGTTTAATAACCATGGAGAAAAAAATTAAATTAGATTTTCTTTTATTTGCACTTTGAAAATTTGCACCCGATTATACGCACATAGCCAGTCGCGGTAGAAGTCGAGAAAATCAAAAATTCCAACTCTCACTGAAATCACATTGAACACGGCCATTTTCTTTTCTTTTTTTTTAATCGTTTTCCCAAGTAACGTGGATTTTTATTGGTCCATTTTTTTAGTTGTCCACCAACAAGCCAATAAAAATACAAATGAAACAGAAAAATTACATTCTTACGCGATTTCATCCTTGAACTTGAACTTTCCGTTTTCAAGATCATTCTCGCTGGATTATTATGAAACACGTGTGTGGAATCCTTTTGTGTTTTTTGCATCTTTAGAAATCTGTGTGTTCAATTGGGACTGTTAAATTGTAATATCGACTTGAAAAAACTGGTAATTATATATTTTTTGAAAAAATATTAATTTTTGTCAGTAACTTTCAGTTTTGAGGTTATGTAAAATGTCACATGTTTTTTATGAAACAATTATTTCTTCTAATTTATTTAAAAATACGTTTTGGTAATTTAAATTTTGTCCGTAAATTTGCATTTATTGAATTATTAAAAATATTTATTTTTTTTTAAATCAAAAGATTCAAACAAACGATTAACACAACCAAGAAATAATAAATAAATTTCCGACGTAAATTATTATGTGAATTGATATTATGGTTAAATTTATTGTAATGATATAATAGTGTAATTTTAATATATTCTAGTAAAAAAATTATAGTTTGTTAAAATTGTATAGTTGATTTTTATGAGTTTTATAAAAATTTATAGGAAAACAAGAATAAAATAATTATTTAATTTTATTTTTATAGATTTGTAACGCTAACTATTAAGGTTAAACATTTTAATTTATTTTAAGGATTTAGATTGACAATAAAATTTTTGAAAGCTATAATATTTGAATGAACCAAAAATGGATGATGACAATGCAGATTTGAAAGCAAAACGTTATAAGTTAACGTTGGATCCAAATTTTCAGCCAGAACAGATTTCTGATAAAACTTTTAAGAGATGGAAAAATGCATTTAAAACAACACTCGAAGGTGTGTATGAATATTTTATTCGAAATTTTTGTTTTAATGATTTTATTTATTTTATTATTAACACATTAATTACATATATAAGATATTTTTCTCTAATATCGCTATCATAATTAGAAATGCTTAAATATTTTAAAAAATATTATTTAATATTTTTAACATATTGAAAATTCAAAAAAAATTTTTCACAAAGAATTCTTTGTGTAAATTTCAATTTGGGTTATTTTAATTTTAAATAATTGTGACAAAAACAATATTCCTTGCGTAAAAACAAATTCAAAACAATTTCTGTTAGAAAAAAGAAATTATTCAGTATTACTTATAATAAAAAAAACTTTACTTTTAATGTCTTCCTTAACCTTCCACCCATCGCATGGTGAGAAGTTTCCTCACACAGTTCCTTTTTTTATTAATGTCTCTTAAAATACATAAAATAAAAATTCCATAATATCAATATCTTTTTTTAAATATTACAACTGTTTTCATGTTTTTAAATTTTCTTACTTTTATATTGTTGAATTTAAGAATATAAAATGTGAATTTTTGACGCAAAGTAAGAAAACTTCTCACCGTGCAACCAACCGCTTATAATCGATTCTATGCGACATTAATTTTTTATTTTTAATAATAAGCAATAATAAAAACTGAATTAACATTTAATTGATAGTTTATAAACGCAACAAACAATTATTAAAAATAATTTTCAATTCATAATAAAATTTAACTAAATTATAAAAGTGAGAAGTTTCATCACCTACGACGGATCGATTTACAAAATTTTATGCGACGGATGGAGGGTTAAGGAGAGCGACCAGTAAAAATTCAACTTTTCGATATTTTCGTTGTTTATTCGCGTGACCTGCATAGTATTGCATAGTGCATTTACGTGTTTAAAATATAGGAAAGCGATTCTTCACGATTGGTGAATAAAACTCAGGTACGTAGGAATCCTAGAATAAGAGTGAATATGAATATGATTGATTGATAGATTGATGGATTGATGGATTGATTGGTTGATTGATTTATGGATTGGTTGATTGAGTAATTGGTGGATTGATTGGTGGATTGATTGGTTGATTGGATAATTGATTTATAGATTGGTTGATTGAATGGTTGATTGCTTGATTGATTGACTGATTGATTGGTGGATTGATTGGATGATTGTTTGATTGAGTGATTGATTGGTGGATAGATTGGTTGCTTGGATGATTGAATTATAGATTGGTTGATTGAGTGATTGATTGGTGGATTGATTGGTTGATTGATCCGCCATTTTGAAAATTTTAAATTTGTCTTCAAATTCGTATTCAGTGACCTCAAAAACCCCCGAGTAGCGAAATTCAAGCAAATTTGATCAATGTTTAACAATATTTGTATGTTTGTCCGCCATTTTGGATCCGCCATTTTGAAATTTAAAAATTCGATTTTAGAATCATATTCAGCAATCTTAAAAACTTATTTTCACCAAGTTGAATAAAAATCTATTAAAATTTATAGAAGTTATTCAAGTTTTTACATTACTAGTTTTGTTATGGTAGTGATTGATTATATTCACGGAAAAAAATTTTCTGTAGAATTTACAGAAACTCCTGCGCCATCTACTGATGTTTCTCCAAATAGAGAAATATGTTGAATCATTGGCATTAAAATCTGTTAATTCTACAAGTTTGAGCTACAGTTCTTAAAAACTGTTGAGTGACCAAATTATGTATACTATATGGGGATAATATATATTTGGTAGAGTATTTCTTATAGGTTATATTCTCCTCCGAATACATTAAATTCGCGGAACATTATTGTATAGATTAGTATAACTTCTATGTAAATAAATTCATCCTTCAATAATTTTCTAACAAAAAAAATGAGGAGCAAGTTTTCAAAACTTATGATAAATCCACTTTTTCTTATGTCGAGAAATTGAAACAAACGACTTTTCTCACTTAATCACTACAGTTAATTTTAAAATAAAAAATTTGTAATAATTTATTTCTATAATAATGTTTATATACTTAAGACGTTTCCTTTTTAATTAAACTTTCTTGCCGACACTATGATAATAATAAAAACACTAAATTCGCCTTAACCTCTCGCACTCAATCTAATCGTACTCAGCCTTAGTCGAATCACTGCATTGTTTTCGCGCATGCGTTAAATCCTTGCAGAAAATATCTGTAGAATTAACAGATTTAGGAACATGTAAAATCTCTAAATCGACGTTAAAGAATTACCAGAAAATTTTTTTCCGTGTTATTTTATATGTTGCATATCAATCAATTGGTTCAATTTTTTTACATCTACCAAGAATTTTTTTTCAGTTTTTACATCCCTTTACACAGTAGTATACTTGGGATAACTTTTTTCTTAAACCTCTTTAAACTACAAGGGTGTTTACATTTACCCCGAATTTTGGGAAAATTTCAAAATCTCGGGGTAAATGTAAACAGTCAGTTTTAAGCGATTCAAGTTGATCAATATTTTTTTGTACCTCATAAAATGTTTCTAGGGAAGTGAAGTAACAAGTTCATGCAGTAGAAAACCGGAAGTATTGCTTTTTAAAATAAAAAACTTACGTTATTGTCGAAACTAAGCAAATCCGTTTACATTTACCCCAAATGACCCTAGTTCAAATTTTTATTTTCCTGAAATTTTGAATTCCCTATTGAAAAAAAACACGTATAATTATACGTATAATAATACGTATAATTATACGTATAATTGTACGTATAATTATACGTATAATTGCACGTATTATTATACGTATAATTATACGTATTATTATACGTATTATTATACGTATAATTATACGTATAATAAGACATACGAATTTGAAACAAGAATTATACGTATAATTATACGTATAATAATACGTATAATTAATTATACGTATAATAATACGTATAATAATACGTATAATTATACGTATAATTGTACGTGTTTTTTTTCAATAGGGATATATTTTTGTTTATTAATATATACCTAAATATTATAAAATATAGACACGTATAATAATACGTATAATAATACGTATAATTATACGTATAATTGTACGTATTATTATACGTATTATTATACGTATAATTATACGTATTATTATACATATAATTATAATTCTATTAAAAATAGAATAATAGAATAGAATAGATTAATTAGTAGCAAAATTGCGCTGAAAATTTTTAGAAATTTTAAAATGCAAATTAAATTTCACGAAAAAAAATATCGTCGAATGTCAATTCAAGCAGTCACCCATCCAAGTACTAACCGCGTCCAACGTTGCTTAACTTCCGTGATCTGATGAGAACTTGTTCTTTCGCCTTGGTGTTTCCGCTGTCTTGTCTTGATTAATAACTTTGTCGTATAAGTATTGTATCGCACCTCACTTTTAGTGATACTTATACGACAAAGTTATTAATCAAGACAAGACAGCGGAAACACCAAGGCGAAGGAACAAGTTCTCATCAGATCACGGAAGTTAAGCAACGTTGGACGCGGTTAGTACTTGGATGGGTGACTGCTTGAATTGACATTCGACGATATTTTTTTTCGTGAAATTTAATTTGCATTTTAAAAATTCTAATAATTTTCAGCGCAATTTTGCTACTAATTAATCTATTCTATTCTATTATTCTATTTTTAATAGAATTATAATTATACGTATAATAATACGTATAATTATACGTATTATTATACGTATAATTAATTATACGTATTATTATACGTATAATTATACGTATAATTATACGTATAATTCTTGTTTCAAATTCGTATGTCTTATTATACGTATAATTATACGTATAATAATACGTACAATTATACGTATAATAATACGTATAATTATACGTACAATTATACGTATAATTATACGTACAATTATACGTATAATTATACGTATTATTATACGTATAATTATACGTGTTTTTTTTCAATAGGGTTTTATTTAAAAATTCAATTAAAAAATTGATCACCCTTAAAAAAATATTTAGATGGGTTAAAATTTTACTGGTCACTCTCCTTAAAGTTAGAAAATATAATTTAATTTAATTATATAGCAATTAAGTTTATTTATTTTCGATACATAAAATATAAATTTTTTTGTTTTTCTACATAACTTATATTGAGTTCTTAAAATCGCTTTTTAATATTTATTTTTAATCTATTAATATTTGAATTATACGTTTCAGGACTTGTTTAAATATCTATTAATAGTTTTATTTACTACATTCTCATAATGTATTTTTTAAATATGTGACAGCGTCTGAAAAGAGGGACCTACTTACAAAATTAACTTTTCGAGATAAACGCACTTAAAGTTTTGTATTAAAATAAATTTGATTTCTTGAAACATTTTACATCTCATATGAACCTGAAGAGTTAATGTATTTTTTGAACTAAATAAGATTATTATTATTATTATTATTAATGATAATAATTAATTAAAGGTTTGGGGAAATTTCCTTTGACACTTGTACAATCAGGTCGCCGATTACAAGTATACCTACAAGTATACCTGATTACAAGTATCTCCGAGGATTCAGGTCACATTTTTCGTTAATGGTTTTAGTATTTATTATAAACGTTTATTCGTTTAAAATTGATGATCCAGAAATAAATTTATCAAAAATTTAGGAACGAAAACCATTACAATTTTCAATTTTGCAAAATTTATAACTTTTCAATTGTCCATTTTAAGCAAAAATACGAGTAATTTTGGTCTTAAAATTACTTGTATTTAAAGAAAAATAAAAAAAAATTTTTTTAATTTGTTCAAACAATTGGAAATTTTTTTTTAACAGTTGGTAATTGTATTTTTAAGACCTCAAATTATAAGAAACCGTCATAAGAAAAAAAAATTTTCTGGTAGATAGGTCCCTTTTCTCAGACTCGGTCACATATTTGAAAGTAAATGTTAATACACCTATAACTTATTTGAATAAAGCAATAATTTGAAATTTTCAGTTTTGAAAAGCTGAAAATTCGTATTAGAGTCAAAACGAGTCAACCGTGATGAAATTTTTTTCATTTTTGGAAAAGTAAAAACATTTGTGAAAATCAGTAGTCCACAACAAAACAAAGAAACACTTTTAACCTTTTTTAAAAATTTTAATTGTTTATAACTTTTTTTTGGACTAACAAACTTTGACATTATTTTAAAAAAAATGAACAAGTCAAAATGAATTTGCTATAAATTAATGGGGATTTTTTTGGTAGCCAATGAATATCCTTTCTTTTAAATAAACTTATTTGGGAAAAAATTTGCAAATCTTATACATTTTTAATAACAATTTTAAAAACAATGTGTGTTATTTATACTTTCCAGAGCAAGGATTATAATAAAATTTATATGAGATGTACATTGCACTGTCAACTTTATAATTCTGCAAAAAAAATTTGTATTTGTTTATATAAATTTTATTATAATCCTTGCTCTGGAAAGTATAAATAATACACATTGTTTATAAAATTGTTATTAAAAATGTATAAGATTTACAATTTTTTTTTCACAAATTAGTTTATTTAAAAGAGAGGATATTTATTGGCTACCAAAAAAATCCCCATTAATTTAAAGCAAATTCATTTTGAGTTATTAACTTTTTCTAAAAATAGTGTCAAAGTTTGTTAGTCCAAAAAAAGTTATAAACAATTAAAATTTAAAAAAACGGTTAAAAGTGTTTCTTTGTTTTGTTGTGGACTACTGATTTTCACAAATGTTTTTACTTTTCCAAAAATGAAAAAAAATTTCATCACGGTTGACGCGTTTTAACTCATTAGTATTTTTATATAAAATTCATCCAGCTCTTTTTCAATTTAGGAAAAAGTGCTGTTGGACCTAGTCATGAACATAAAGAGTTAGTTGAAAAACCTGAACCTAGTAATCTTAATTCGGATGGCTTGATGTTGTGCGAAAACAACTTTCTTGAGAACGACAATTTGAGTATTGAGGAAGTCTTTTGCAGCTCTTCTGACGATCATGATGATGATGATGATGACATTGATTTTCCTGAAAGAAATTCACAACATGCAGAACAACAACTTCCTGACCAGAAACCTTCTGAGTGTAAAACGACTTTCATTGAGGATGGTGACAAAATTATGTTTAAACAATCTGGAATAACTGTAAAAGAAGTGGTTGAAATGGTTGTAGCGTATAACTTAAGGTTTGGCGATTCGCAAGAAGCTCGACAAATGCTAATAGAAATGATAAAAATTTTTGCAGGTCCAGAATTTTCAAATTTTAACATTTCCAATTATTCACTGTCTAAAATATTTGACCCACCATCTGAAAAAATTATTTATCATTTCTATTGTCAAAAATGTACTGACAAGGTTTTGTACAAATCATGTAAAAAGGGCATAAAAGGAAAAAAAGTTTTATGTGAAACTTGCAAAATGGAATATACATTAACACTTAGCAATCCTAACTATTTCGTAGGGATAGATTTAGAATATCAGCTGCAAATGTTTTTAGAAAATGAAGAGACTGCGAAATATTTTATTCCAAAAAACACAGATTGTAATTCAAGCAAAGGTAATAAGAACTTCATGCGCGATATTGATGACAGCATTTTGCATAAAAGTGCCATTGAAAAATATGCGGCAACAATCACTTATTTAATAAGTACAGATGGTGCACCTTTATTTCACATTTCTAAACGAGGTTTTTGGCCCCTTCAAATCATTCTAAATAATTTACCCGTTCATCTGCGATTTAAATTTGTTTTACTGGTAGGTCTTATGATTGTTAAAAATGAACCCAAACCAAATCTAATGAATTTGTTTATAAACGCATTTATCGAACAGGCTAATCATTTACATTCAAAAGGGATGAAAGTCAAAATTGCACATCTCGACAGCGAAATTGAAATACATTTTACACCATCCGGTGCAGTCGCAGACTCGGTCGCTCGCCCTATTCTTCAAAACAGATTACAATTTAATGGATATTTCGGTTGCAGTTTCTGCTACCAACGAGGAGTATTTATTTTTAAAATTGGGTTGAGGTATCCTTTCGTATCTGAAGAACCGGAACTGAGAAGTCATACTTCTCACATGAAAGACATCGCTTGTGCTAAAGAACAAGGCTCTTTTTTTCAAGGAGTTAAGGGCGAGTCAGCTTTTATTGATCTTGCAAATATAGACATGGTTTGGAGTTTCTCCCTCGACTATATGCACAATGCGGTTCTTGGAGTAACAGAACAAATTTGGAAAAAATGGATTAAGGAATTAACAGCTGAACAGCGCAGAGAAATAGATGAGTTACTTCTTCTTCAAAAACCACCACGAGATTTACACAGAAGTACTGAAAAAATATCCTCAAAAAGCATTTGGAAGGCGACGCATTGGAGATCATGGCTGCTATATTTTTCAGTACCAATTTGTTCCTTGTATCTAAAAAAAATTGAGTTGTTAGAGCACTATATTCTGTTTGTTAACAGTATGTTTGTTTTGCTGGAAACCGAAATTTCCTATGACAAATTAGACAAATGCGAGCAAGATCTAATGACTTTTGTTGCTCTTTACGAAAATCTGTACGGTGTTGAAAGTATGACGTTCAACATTCACGTTTTGTTGCATTTCGTTAGTTCCATTAAAAAATCCGGTCCTCCATGGGCAACTTCTGCGTTCCCATTTGAACACAATATTTATTTCTTAAAGCAGACTATCAGTGGCCCGAAAAGCGTAGAACAACAAATGTCTGTAAAGTCATTGAATCTTTTGAAATATCGTCTTCGACCGCAGAATAACGATATCTCCGAGAAAGCGAGTAATTATTGTAAAACTATTTTTTCGTCAAAAATTGTCAGTAAAAATGCCGTAAAAGTAAATGATGTAACATTTTATGGTCCAGATCCGACGAATATTTTTGAATCTGTCACCGAAAAACACTTCGAAAGATGTTTCTTTAATAACTGCATTTTTAGCAGTACCATTTACAGTCGTTCAAGAAAATTCAATGACACACGGAAAAAACAAACTAACTATTTTAGCACCAAACTGCTTTATCCTTTATTAGTATGCAATTTCGTTTACCTATTAAAGTATGAAATAATGCTTTTTTAGTTTAAAGTAAGTCCATACTAAATAAGTATAATGGTTATACTCTTTTAGTAATAGTGACGTACTTTAAAAGCATAAAGTTGATGCCCGCGAAGTACGACATATAGTCTACCTAAAATAGCAAGAGCTTCTTCCTTTTTGGTGTATAAATTCTTGCAACCTGCGTTTTGGCCTATATCGATATATCAATGGTTGGAAAGAGAAGGAGGCGTGGCCAAAACGCAGGTTGCAAGAATTTATACACCAAAAAGGAAGAAGCTCTTGCTATTTTAGGTAGACTATATGTCGTACTTCGCGGGCATCAACTTTATGCTTTTAAAGTACGTCACTATTACTAAAAGAGTATAACCATTATACTTATTTAGTATGGACTTACTTTAAACTAAAAAAGCATTATTTCATACTTTAATAGGTAAACGAAATTGCATACTAATAAAGGATAAAGCAGTTTGGTGCTAAAATAGTTAGTTTGTTTTTTCCGTGCACAGTTGTTGAACTAAAAAATGGAGACTTCGCTCAAATCACTGGAATTTATTTGTTGCCAGATGGAACATGTTCTTTTCATGTTAACAAGTTAATCGTTGAACAATTTCTCGTTGGAAGCAAGCAAGTGTCACATATGTTGGTCATAAAAAGAAACGTTAAAATTGCGCCAGTATCCACCTCGTATATAAAATCTAAAGCGGTTGTGATTAACTTAAAAGACCGACAATTAATTGCGAAAATTTGCAATACCATCGAAGCTCAGTGAAATGTAATTTGTAAATATTTTTATAAAAGAAACGAATTTATAACAAAAAAACTTTGTTATTTTTGTAAAATTGTATAAGTTTTTGGAAATTTTTATTTTCTGATTTGTAAGGTATTATTTTAATTAACCTAATATTTACCATATTTATATATTACGAAAACATTAAATAAATGTAATTAACTAAAAATTTATGTTTATTTTATGGCCTTTTTTATAATAAAATAGATTTATTTGTTTATTTAGTTAAATAGAGCCTGTTTTCGCCGTAAGGTATAAACCGCGGTATAAATTTATTCCTCGCGGAGAATAAACGAAAAAAATAATTTGCGTATGCGCAAATCACCTGAAAAACAATATAAACCAATTATAAATCATAAAAAAATGATATATTGTTTTTCAGGTGATCTGTTCATAGGCAAATTATTTTTTTCGTTTATTCTCCGCGAGGAATAAATTTATACCGTAGTTTATACCTCACGGTGAAAACAGGCTCGTAGTCCGTTAAAATTATGATTATTTTTAAAACAATTGTTAGTTTACTTATTAAGCTATTATAAATTAATATTTATATTTATTATTTTTTTATAACCAATTTCTTGCACGTAATATTGTTTAAATATACATAAATTAAGATTAAATAGAAATTTAAAAATCAAAATAAAACTTTTTTTATTTAATCAATGTTTATTGTTATTTAATTTTTAAATATTCTAATTATATTTTTAATTTAATTTATTTAATTATTATTATTATTATTATTATTAAATTAATTTTTATTTATTTAAATTAATATACATTATATATAAATAATTAATTATTTAATTATCAATAATTATTAATAATTAATAATAATTAAAATAAATTAAATTTTATCAATAATTAAAATTTCCAATCTTAATAAAAAATTTTATTTACAATTAATTTAATATTTCTTATATATAATATTATATTTTAGAATTATATAAAAGTCATTAAAAAGTATTGAATTTAATAAAAGTTAATAAGAATTAAAAACAATAAAATTAATTTCTAAAATTTATCTCATTTTGTCATTAAAAAGTATTCAATTTTCGAAACAGTATACTTGATTTAAAAGGAATTAAAAGGGATTAAATAGATCACAAATATATTCCATTTCAAACGATTAAAAAGTATTCACTCTAATATTGTAAACTCTGAGTATTGAAAAGGATTCGTTTTACAGACGTATTTTTGTTAACAGAAGTATTCAAATCTTGCAGACAAAAAAGGAATTCAGAAGTATTCAAAATTTTCTTCCTACTATTGATGATGAAAAATTTTTTAATACCTTTCTATTTAAGTCTTTTTACCGGGTCCCCAACTTAGTTTCCGAACTTAACACGGGGAACTCCCCGCGAACTCCCTGCGAAAAACGGTGCTGTCTGGGAATGTCCTTTAAGCACGTAATTTGGATTGCATTTTACTTGCATTATTTCAGGACGAACAAATTTAGTTTCTGCGCTTTGAACCTCAAATTTTGTACATTTATTTGTAGTTATCGCTAAGACAGATAATATATATATATATATATTGATAAGATAGAGTGTGAAGATCCAAGTGTAATATGATCTTCAAAAGCCCATTGTCAGCATATAAGAGAGAGAATCCAGAAAGAAGGAGATTCAATGTCATACATGCGATGTAGATCATTACCATATAAGGAAAGTGATTCTATTTATAGATCACCCCCTCCTCAATAATATGACATTTCTCCCACTAATTAGCATAATCGACTAGTATATAAACAAGAGATTTTTCCATAAAGCTTGTCAAAAGTTCCGGTGCAATCTCTAACATCGTAGAGCGACCCTTCAGTTTACTTTCGCCATAATTATTGTAATCTTTCCTGATAGCCAATAGGTACAAGTTAGTTTGACTTTTCACTTAGAACATAGTTCTTTCCTGATAGCCAATAGGTGCAAGAGAAGCAAATTAACACTTAGGATCAATAATTTAATAAATAACTGTCGTATTTATAACTAAAAAGAAATGCAGAAATCACTGCAAGAAATCTTGCATTATCTTCGGAAACTTTAATTGCAAAGTTTAGAGAAAATTGTATAAAGATTTAAATGTCCAAAATGAGTAAATGTTTGGCGTAGAACTTGACGGAAGATTTAAATTAAATTTTCCAGAAATTTTCGACGCGAAAATTGAGTGAAGACTTAAATTAAAGTTTCGTGAAATGTGTGGCGTAAAAGTTAACTAAAAATTTAAAATAAATATTTATTAAAAATTTATACCGAGAGTTGAGTGAAAATGTAATTTAAATATTCAGTCAATTTTTGTGACGAACATTTCCTAAAAATTTAAATTAAATTTTCAGAAAAGGTTGGACGAAAATATTTGTAAAAAATACAAAAATAATATTTAAGAAGTATTAATATTATTATTAATATTAATAATAATAATAATAGATAGATAGATAGATAGATAGATAGATAGATAGATCTTTATTATTATTATTATTATTATTATTATTATTATTATTATTATTATTATCAATAAAAAAAATTCACTATCTGGGATTAAAAATAAAATAAATAATATACAAACATTGTTGCTCTGCTTTGATTCACATTGAATCAAGCACTGCATGCTTGTTGAGCACGAACTTTTGAAAACAAATTATGGGGTGCTGGGGATTGAACCTACATTCGCCGCGCGCTGGCTAAAGACTCTAACCACTACACTACAGATATCTGACTGAAAAGAAATCTTTCACACACTCTACAACTTACTGATAGACAAGTGATCCTACTCCTACTATCCATCTATCCATCTATCCATCTATCCATCTATCCATCTATCTATATCTATATCTATATCTATATTATAAATTTGAACATATTTTTTGAAAAGTCTTAGGACTGCTTTAAAAGTGCTAGAATTCACTTTAAAATATAACATGTAATTCTTATATATGTATTTTCAATAGTACTTCATAGTTTCCTACTATTGAATTTGAGCTATCTCATCTTTATACAATCAGCTTAGAAAAATCTGGTAGTAACAATAGCCAGGTAAATTTTTACATTTTCCGTAATAATTTCCAATGATTTAGTTATTTACTGAAAATTGTATTATTTAGATATATGGGGGATCTCGGGTGAAGTGATCAAAGTAAAAAAAAATTTTGTCTCAATTTCGCTCAAACTGGAGTAATTTGTACTTCTATTGGGTGGTAATTTATCGTAAAAAAATTTTTCAATTTGGACCAATATTTACTCGGGGGGAGGGGGTTGAAGTTTTTGGGTAGCGTTTTCTTTAATAATTTTTTTTTCTTGAGTATCAAAAAAAAAAATTTTTATCAACATCAGTTTCGATAGCTTTTTTAATGCTCTTTCGATTGAGAACATGCATTTTTGAAAAAAAAAATTTTTGAACCAAAAAAAAATTAATTTCAAAATTTTTTTTGACTTTTTCGGGGTAAAAGGTACGATTTTTTTTTTTTTTTTTTTTAAAGGAAAGCTGAGATTTTTTCCTGTAGGGACATGTAGTTGAAAAAATGGGACAAGAAAGATTAAACCTTGAAAATTAACATTTTTTATTCACTTTAGCGCTGCGCTGCGATCTACCACGTGACACATTAGTAGTATGGTATTTGGAGAGAAACATTAATGCTCTCTGCATTTTACAGGGTTGAAACTGTTATTGAGTAAATACCTGTATTTCATCAACGTTTAAATTTGGATAATAATAAATGAATAATAATTATATAAAGTGGAATTTTGGAAATTATAAAATCGGTTCAAAAATAAATGTAGCATACTAATAAGAGTTTACTTTATTATAGTAATCAGTCTTATCAAATAAATACTCATTTATATCAATTCATCATTCATTTGGTTATTAATTTATCCATTTATTCGAATATTTGACTGCAATGAGTCTTTATTTGACTAAGAAATAATATAAAATGAATATTTTTTTCATTAAAGTTTTCTTCATTATTCATTACTTACATTATTATTGATGGAGACGACTGCTTTTCCCCGAAAGGACAAAATGTCGAATGGACAAAACGTCGAATAACAAAACGTCGATTGGACAAAATATCGAAAAGCCAAACTGTCGAATGGACAAAATGTCGAAAAGTCAAAACGTCGAATAGTCAAAACGTCGAAAGGTCAAAATGTCGAAAAGTCAAGACGTCGCATAGTCAAAACGTCGAATAGTCAAAACGTCGAAAGGTCAAAATGTCGAAAAGCCAAGACGTCGAATGATTGAAACGTCGAACGGACAAAATGTCGAAAAGCCAAAACGTCGAACGGACAAAATGTCAAATAGCCAAAACATCGAACGGACAAAATATCGAATCGCCAAGACGTCGAACGGACAAAATGTCGAATAGCCAAAACGTCGAATAGCCAAAATGTCGAAAATCCAAGACGTCGAAAAGTCAAAACTGCGAATGGACTAAATGTCGAAAAGTCAAGACG